TGGACAAATCTCTATTTTATTTTATTAAAAATACTTCACTAAAAATATGATCTTTTGCATGTGAAAGACTGCCAAATTTTGTAAAGATATACATGCTATATTGAAATTTAGAAGTATTAAATCTATAAACATTTTAATCAAGTACAAAGAGGTCACATGGTCAGTCAAATCGATGGAGCTCGTGATGAGAGAGTTCAATAGGTAAAGATAAATATCTAATTTAAATAACGGATAACTGAAGTTAGACCTAATTGGATATGTAAAGTGGAACTTTTTGATCAAGTGAAGGTTGATAATTTTTAATATTTCCTTTTGAAATTAATAAATTAAAACATATCAAAATTTCATTAATTAACTATGTTTTGATGTCAAGTGTAATGATATACTTTGATCATAATGTATTTACTTAAATTTTGAATGTAACTCTGAAATGTGCACTTTAATTCCCACCCTTGCACATAGAGTTAAGTAAATTTTGTGTGCCTCATTAGTTGTTACAAAATACTATCCATCTTTGAAGCAAGAGAATTAACATCCTCTTTTTTTATATTTTTAGTTTTTCGTTTAGTTACATACATGGCAGTTCTCATTTCAGTATTCCTTGAAATATACTGAAAATAAAGTATCTGTCACAGTTGTCATGTTTAACGTAAAGATAGCATTCCTTAGAGGTATTTAAACAATCTGGAAATTGTTAACCCTTTCAGATGGGTCACGGGTAAAAGGCCATGTCATTGCCTTTATTGACTCGCATTCAAAATTTTATTGAACTACTACTTCATGAATTTTTATCAATAAGTTTGGTATCAAATTTTAGATTATAATTCAAATTTTAGTATTATACATTATTCAATTTCTGAATTTAAAAATCACTATTAAAAAAGAGTTAAACATCAATTTTTGGTTCAAATTAGATGTTTGTGATGTCAAAATACTAAATCTATAGTTTTGTATGAATTAGTAACTCAAATTACAGATATTGAAAAGCTAGAATATAAAATAAGAACCTCTTATCTTTTTTATTTCCTAAGATATTGCTCATAATAAATCAAAC